TGGAAATGGAAAAAAGGCCGATAGATATTAACGAGTAGTTATACTCTTTTTTTTTTTTTTTGATAAATGATTATTGGTTTGTAAGTGTTTGTTTTGGTTGATTAATGTTTTTGAACTTGAATCAAAATTTACTTGTTTGGTACTGTGGATGTGGGTGTAAACAAGTATAAATGAATGATATTTTAATCAATGCAGTGCACATCCACATTCCACTTTATTATTTTTCATTACTTTTATTTTAATAATTTTTGTCTTAATTTTTTATTACTTTTATTTTAATCAATGACGGATATTTTTGTTACTTTCGCATGCTTGTTATCAATGCATTTCGTCATTTTAATAATCATTTTAATGAATGTTTCTTTTTGATCCATGTTGTGGTAAAATAACAATGAAAAGAACATAACACAAGCGAAGAAAGGGACAATGGTTGGGTCCAAGTTTATGGTACCTATTGAACAATTCAAAATCAAAGTCTAATATTCAAAACAATTCAAATCAAAATTCTTAAACAATTAAGAACAAAACAACACTTATTCCTTGACCATCTTGTCGAGTTAACGCATCTTCAATCTCTATACATAAAACAAAAATAAACATATTTAGTATTAAAAAAAAATGTTACCAAATAAATTAAAAGCACAAAACTTATTACCTAGCTATATTATTCGGATTTTTGGCACACGTACGACAATGTCTATTAAGACTACTTGTACCGTGTCTTGATGGATCGGCTTTAAGTGTAGCGAAACAATACTTACACCTTGCTTGCCTTCGTTCAACCCCATCATCTTCTACTACCCACAACATATCAAAATGTTGCCAACATGTGGACCTCTCCTTCAAATTCAAATGCTAAACAAATTAAGTAAAAAAATCTAGGTAGATTTAAAGCATGTAAAAAAAAATAAAGTATCAAAGACATAAAACTAATAGATTCAAAACGGAACCTAATTGAAGTATAAAGACGTAAATTAGTCAATTACTTTAAATGCATATTTGCATAAAATTAAAAAGAAACATACTTGAATTGGGCGGTTAGCTTCCATGAATGCTCTTGAAAAGAAAAAAACAACTTAAAACCTTCAACTTAGAGAATAATAAGTTAAGTGAAAATGTAGAGGTGGAAGGCATATTTATAATGAGAAGTTGTGAGATGTTGACAAAACATGAAAATTAAAAGATTGCTAATGTCAAAAAAATTGTCTCTTGCTTTTATGTTCATATTTTTAAAGTTGAAGTCTTCAAGGTCAAAAATACAAAAAGACAAGTTGCAAATAAATAATTAATTAACAATTTAGAATTTCTACATATCTTAAATTAAAACACACAACCCAAAATAAATTATCCAATAGTCAAATACATAGTTTCTTAAAAAAATAAAAAATCAATAGTATCAACTATCAAATATGACGTACAGTACCTTCTCCAAAACTCATATTTCACAATGACCAAAATGTAATTTTTTTCAACCAACTTTGTTATATCTAGTTACTTTTTTTAAAAAAAATCAATGTCGTCAATAACCTAATAACCTAAATGTAATTTTTTGTTTGTTAATTTTTTTATAACGGTTGAAAGATTATGCGATTGAGGTAATTACAAAAAAAAAAGTCTGGGTTTTCCGGTTCTAAACCCATTTGACCCTGTTCTACCTTACCCACTTTCCTATTTCCGGGTTTTTCGGTTCTAGACCCACTTTACTCGGAACCGAACCGGAACCGGTTCCTATAAACCGGTCCGGTTTCCGGTTCTAAAAAATATCGTTAAACGGTTCCGGGTTTTCCGGGTCCAGGTCCATCTGGTCCGGGTTTGGACCCACTTTCATCCCTACTACAAATGAAATCATGGAAAAAATAGGTTAGTGGGGATGACATAATGTACAATCATTCTTTGATACATATGAATTATTGGCACTTGGAAATGGCCAAACAAATATGTATCGACATTTTTATACACTTAAGAAATCAATCCAAACATTTAAGCAAATTGTAATCAAGTAAGGATGGCAAAAATAGCTGAAAGGATTTCTCACTTGCTTTATGCAAACAATAGGCTTTTGTGGGACAATGGTCTAAGGTAAATGTGGAAAACTTAATTATGATTTTGAATTGTTTTTATGAAGTTTTGAGTGTTCAAATTAACTTTGATAAATCACAAATTTATAGGTTAGGTGTTGTTGAACCCCATGTGAAAGCTTTAGCATTGGTTACGAGTTGTGACTCATACTCGTTAACTTTTAAATAGCATGAAGTTTTAGTTGGGCTTAATATGTCTAGAATAACGAGTTGGGGCTCGATCATGGAGAAGTTTAAACAAAAGTTAAATGTATGGGAGGCAAAAATGATCTTTATCAAGGTAGATTTACACTTATTATAACGGTTTTGGGGTTTGTTATGTATCTATTATAGTTCAGTTTTTAAAAAAGTCAATTAAATTTGGTGATATGCTGGAATCAAACTTCTTTTTTTTCTGCGGTGTTAATTTAGATGATAAAAGAATGTCTTGGGTTAAGTGGTCTTCGAGGTTGGCTTCTAAATATGGTGGAGGTCTTGGTATCGGTAGCTTGTTCACGCTTAATGACTCGTTACTTATGAAATGGCATTGGCGTTTTGTGAATAACCCTGATATGTTTTGGTTTAGAGTTATTAAATGGACTCACGATGCTTCTGGATGGTTTGTAGAGGCTACATGAGGCTTAGTTGTGAAAGGTGTGTGGTCTTCCGTTGTTTCTTCTTTTGTTAAGCTTTGTGAAGGACAAATCATTCATTTTGATACTCTGAAAAAGTCTATATGTAATGGCATAAATACATTGTTATGGAAGGAAGTTTGGTAAAGAATGTGGTATTGCAATATGCTTTTCCTAGACAGTAGATTAAGAAACAGTTCCTGATTATTTGAATGTTGTAGAAGGGAGAATCATAGTTGGAGTTGCAGGTAGAGAAGAGAGTTGAGAGGAGGGCCCGAGTTGTCCCTAAACTCGGATTTGATGGAGTTTTTGGGTAAGATTATGTTTGTTGATCGGTTAGATAGCTAGATTTGGGATTTGACAAATGGGATTGAGTTCACGTTCAAGGATACCCGTCTGGTTATAGATGATTACAACCTTCCCCATGGATCACGTCATACGAGTTGGAATAACTTGAATCATATCATGGTGAATATTTTTGAGATTTCTTTCTAAATCGCCTCCAAACAAAATATAATCTCATTGATCGCGACATTGATGTCCCTTACATGCTTTGTCTGATGTGTGGCGATCATGTTGAAGATGTTAATCATGTTTTCGTATTGATCAAAGTTTATGGCTTTAGAATCTAATTTTGAGCACTTTGATACAATTGTTTTCTTTTTTTTCTAATAGCTCCTTACTACTTTTTTTAATAATATTCATTCTTTTTAAAAAAATAATAATAAACTAACACAAATATTGTTGAATGGTCATTGGAATGATAAATTTGTTTATTAATTTTAAGAATTGAGATGAATCAGGGAACATAAATTGTTTATAATTTTATCTTTCGTTTTTGGTTTTTAGTTTTTGGTTTTGCCTATTCCATTTATACTATGTGTTATCATTCAGTTATCAATAAATATCACAAAATAATCACTTATTTTGAAAAATAAACCGTAGAGAATTACATTTTCTTGCAAACTTAAATGTTCTAAATTTTTTACAAAAAGTTATATCATTTCACAAAATTTGACAACTTATTTTAAAATTCTTTTCTAATATATATGTTCCTAAATTAATTTCCCAACAAATATGAATTTTCTGAAATGGATACACATTTTGTAATGAACGTTCAATAATATATAGTAATTTCATTTTGAGTCAGAGGGAGGTTTGTATGTACTGACTTCAAGGTATCAGACATAGCCTCGTTAATAATATATATTAATGAACGTTTTAATAATATATAGTAATTTCATTTTGAGCAACATCCATTTTGGTATTTTAATGGTCAGTTTTTAATGTTGATAATTATAATATCATCAATTCTTTTGATATATAGTTAGGATTAACTTGAGATATACTTTGGCTAAAACCCGATATTAGAGATGCGGAATGCATACTAGATTAAGCTAAAATAAAATTGGAAACATAGCGTCCGGTGACATCGGCTCTGTTGGTGTGGGGCAGTGCCCTTATCCAAATACAGATCCTTATGTGAAAGAATTGAGTCATTGACCCATATGTTATTGCCCACCAAAAGGTCCAAAACAACTATCACAACTATCGGGAACAATTATGATTTTCCCTCAAAAAATAACCTAATTAAACTACCATCTTCTATATATATTGATGGTGTCATTTGTTACAGACACACAACATTCATGTCGTTCCTCTCCTAAATTGTTGTCTCACAAGAACATGAAACAAAAAGTGTATTCCGATTTATGCAATCTTGGATTTGTGTGAAATCCAAAGTAATTTATTAGATTATTCCAATTCTAAATTTGCGTAACATATACATAAGAGCGAATTACAAATTTCAAAAAATATATGCAGCACAATCCATATTTTTATCAAAGTCTTATTGATATTCAGAACCTAATTTACCAACATTTCATATAACCTTTATAAAGTTAAAGTTCATATAAATATTATAACAAAGACGTATTTTTAAAAAGATATAAATCTCTAATTTTAAATTCGATTTTTTAATCAGGATTTATGAACGTTAATAAATCGTACGTACAGTCGGCACAAACATTAGTCATATTTGTCGCAAAGAAAATGACAATGTTTCCGTTCAACAAACCCTCTTTTTATAAAAGTTATAATCTACGGAGACGATTAGATCAGATTCCACATGGCTGCAGATCCCTGTGTGACTTCCAATATCAGCAGATTGGTCATCTTGTCCACCCTATACGAACGGTCGAATTTCTGTAATCAAAGGCCCATAAAACTAATCGAACGGCCGCCGTTAAATGCCGGACAACGTGCTCCGATCAACGGCCACATTCTGCTATTGTCAATCAGGGCCCACCAATCCATCACACCCTTCTCAATTCTCCCCCATAAAACCCTGTCTTCCCTCTCCCCCCCTTTCCCATCTCTCTCTACTCTCTCCCACTATCCATGGCGACACACCTGTTCTGCTCCATTTGCGTCTTAGTCCTCGCCATATTCTCACTTGCAGGTTCATAATCTTCATGATTTTCTCTGCATTCATCATTCATATCTTATGATTTGTTATTTAAATCTATGATTTCTAGCTTAACTTGCCGGTTTCAGCTTGCGACTGTTTTTTAGTCATGAATAATGAATGTCCTACATTTCTTATCAACAACATAGATTTTGATTGTTAGTTTTACATCAATTTTAGTCATGAACTCATGATTGCCATACATTTATTATGAACAGTATCGTTTTTTTTGGTCGTCTATCGCAGACAATGATTTTGATTGTTAAGATCACATGGCATTGTAGTCATGATTCATGAATCTCGTACATTTACTATGAGTAGCATAGATTTCCATCGGTTTATGAAGAATTCGATTTTGATTGTTAGTTTTACATCTATTATATTATAGCTAGTCCAGGTACATTTGTTATAAACCGCTACGTCTTTTGTAGGAATTGATTTTAATTGTTAGTTTCACATGAACTGTAGTCATGAATGTCCTATATTTGTTATGAAGAGCATCGATTTTGATTGTTTTGTATGAATTTCTGATTTATACTTGCAGATGGAGGTTCAATTGGAATAAACTATGGTCGGATTGGTGGCGATCTGCCCTCTGCTTCCAAAGTTGTGAAGCTTCTGAAATCTCAAGGAATCGGTAGGGTTAAGGTGTACGATACTGATCCGTCTGTGCTCAGATCATTGTCCGGGAGTGGCATTAAAGTGACGGTGAACCTCCCCAACGAGCTCCTATACGCCGCCGCCAGAAAACAGTCGTTTGCTAACAAATGGGTCCAACGGAACATCAAGGCTTACTATCCGCGTACTCAAATCGAAGCCATTGCAGTCGGTAATGAAGTCTTCGTTGATCCAAAAAACACCACCGGATTCCTCATTACCGCCATTAAAAATATCCATCAAGCACTCGTTAAATACAAACTCGATTCTGATATCAAACTCTCATCGCCGGTTGCTTTAAGCGCTCTGCAAAACTCCTACCCTTCATCGGCGGGATCTTTCAGGCCAGAATTAATTGAATCGGTTTTCAAACCAATGTTCGAATTCCTCCGGGAGACAGGATCTTACTTGATGGTGAATGCGTACCCGTTTTTCGCTTACGAGGCAAACTCTGACGTGATCTCTCTCGACTACTCACTCTTCCGTGAAAACCCTGGTGTTCCCGACGCTGGCAACGGTTTACGTTACTTCAATCTCTTCGACGCGCAGATCGACGCTGTTTTTGCAGCAATGTCGGCGTTGAAATATGACGACATTCCGTTGGTCGTTTCGGAGACGGGATGGCCGTCGAAAGGTGACGAGAACGAAATCGGAGCAAGCGTAGTAAACGCCGCCGCTTACAATGGCAACCTAGTAAAAAGAATCCTCACCGGCGGAGGCACACCTCTCCGACCGAAAGCAAACCTCACCGTTTTCCTCTTCGCTCTCTTTAACGAAAACAAGAAAACCGGGCCAGCATCGGAGCGAAACTACGGGTTGTTTTATCCGAATATGGAGAAGGTATACGAGATTCCGTTCACGGTAGACGATCTGAAGAATTACAGGGAAGACGACAGTTCGCCGGTGTCCGGTGGTGGTGGTGATGCTGCTCAAGCGAGGTTTTCAACTCCAGTCGCCGGTGATGGAAACGGGTCGGGTTTTTCTTGGTGCGTAGCTAGGGATGTGGGAAAGGATAAGCTGCAGTCGGGTTTGGATTTTGCTTGTGGGGAAGGAGGTGCTGATTGCCGTTCGATACAACCCGGGTCCACGTGTTACGATCCTAATACTCTACAAGCACACGCATCGTTTGCTTTCAATAGTTATTACCAGAAAATGAGACGCGCGTCCGGCGCGTGTTATTTCGGTGGAGCAGCCTACGTAGTCACTCAGCCACCTAGTACGTATCCTATCTCTTCTTCTTCTATATCGTTCAATTACAAACCAGAAAATCCATATTAATTTAAGTTCAATAAATACTTTAAAAATAATTATATAAATATCAGAACTATTTTGTTAAAAAATTTAAAGGAAAATGAGAATTGTAGTGAGGACTAGTGGTAGTGGAAGCCAGATCACGGATATAGCACGTGCATGATGTTGACTTGCCTCTGACATTGTTCAATGTTTTTGAGAATATTTAATTTAAAATATTCTTTTTATTTAAGTAAAAAAAGTTTTAGAATTAGAATTAAAATTTAATATATCAATTCACTTTTTTTTTTTGCAGAATTTGGAAAGTGTGAGTTCCCCACTGGATACTGAAGAAGATTTGCAATGCAAGAAAAATGATGGGGTTTGAATATTGAAGGATGATGGCAAAATAACCCATTTATTATTATTATTATTATAGTTATTCGTTGTAGGTTTTATTGTAATTGGATTAGTTATGGGGTTGGGGTTAGTAGATTTTTTTGTAATTATTATTCAAATTTATATTTAATACATATGTGTTGCTTTTTTCCGTTTTGTCAAAACATGGTCACGATTTCTACAAGGTCATATTTTGTCAATTTCGTACCAATTATCCAACTGAAGTAAGTATCTTGTGTTTATGGCTAAAAAATCATATGTACTCGTGAAAGGGAATACAACTTTATGTGATTTAGTCATATGTGTTTATGGTGATAGGTAAAAATCTCTTTTTTGCTGTCAAAATAAATGTTTTGCTACAAAAGCTTGTTTGTTGGATCTACAGTTTGTGTAGGCCTTGAACTGTCGTTGTTAAATTTAATCTAATTTCTTTTTACCAACGATTTGTAGTATCCATTAGGTTGCTCCTAAATCTATATTTTTCATCTCTAAAAGCTTGTTTGTTGGATCTACAGTTTGTGTAGGCCTTGAACTGTCGTTGTTAAATTTAATCTAATTTCTTTTTACCAACGATTTTTATGTATCTGTCAACTTCTGAATAGGTACATTTATAATACATAACTTGTAATTTTAGGAATCTAGAAAAATAAAAAGTATAATCATAAGAAGTTGCGTTTACGTTTGTATTCCAGTTGGGCCCATTAGCATATAATTCATAATTATGAAAAAGTGGCACGTAGTTTTGGGCTAACCATAAAAATATAAAAAGAAAAATGAAAATCAATACTACGAAATAACAATATTTTTTAAGTTTATCACAATATAACTATAAGATTGTACAATAATGATCTCATACAATGACATTAACTTTGTGAAATAACTTTTTTCTGACCACAATTTTTTGTAAATAGTTTGTGAATTTGATTAACTTGGACAAACAATCCTATAGAAAATGTGGGGTGATAGTGTAGGGGATACCCGTGAAGAGTGACCATAGACATGTGTTTATTACATATGCAGACTGATTATTATGTCAGGAGTATTTTGTCACCCTAGTCAGCGGATGGAATGGCTTCAATATAAGCTAGTTGGGCTGGGTACCGTTGAGTCCATCGTGTCTCAATTTGAAGATTATTCAAATTAATATTAACTAGTAAAGAACGCGCGGCTATGCCGCTTTTGGGGTAATATGGAAAAAATCGGCAAACTTTAAAAGATATGTGCTGAAATTGTAAATCACCATAAATAGGGAAGAAAGTCGACAACTCCTAAAATTAGATGTCAAAAGTGTACAACGAAAAAAATGGACACTAGTGGAGAAAATCCAACATGTTGTGGCAATAATATTAAAGTTGTTAACGTTGGGAAAATATGTTGGCAAAATTTTAAAGGAGGTTTTTTTGTGTTTTTTATGTCAAAATGTAAAACTTTTGACTACAAGGACAAAAAGTGTCAAATTCATTAAAGAATTGTGGCAAAAACACCAAAATGTAATACCTTTGAATATAAGGACTAAAAGTGTCAAAGTCATTAAAGATTTGTGGCAAAAACCTTAAGGCACAAAAACTTAATCAAAAGGCAAAAATTGTAAAATTTTTGACTTTAGGGACTAAAAGTGTCAAGTTCAGCAAACTTATGTGTCAAAATCCTAAAGGCTAAAAGAATACTATTCCTAAGCTCCTTTGGATTTAATATATATATATATATATATATATATATATATATATATATAATGTTTTAAAATCGTTTTTTTTTTCATGTTTTTTTTTCTTATTTTCATGTACACACAAGTTCAAATTATGAAAATACACGTAAAAACATGTTCAAAAATTAAAATTACACATAAAAATAAGTATAAATCACTTCAAATACATTACAAAATATATGTAAACATAAGTTTTACATCAATCCACATACATAAAAAAGGAAAACTAAATATAATACGAAAACTAAATATAGTTTTTGATGAATACATACATATCAAAAAGTTTATAACATTTATCATGTATTTTTATTCAATTTAAGAGAAATTTAAATAGATGTGAAATGACTATCAATATTTATATGCAAAATGTTTCATTTCTTTATATTTTTATTCAATTTGATCGGTTCAACTGTTTTGAATGGTTCTTTGTAAAAACCGACCGGTTAGTTCCGGTCTAGGAAAATACATAAAATTCATGCTAATTGAATTGATTCTCAGTTTTCGGCTCAACCGGTTTTTAAAACATAGGTTAACAGTCTCTCTCTCTCTCTCTCTCTCTCTCTCTCGGATGGTTATGCGTTAATTTTCAAGAAAAATACATAAATAGTCCATGTGGTTGTTTTTTTTTTCTTATGATTTTCACTTTTTGTTCTTAACTTTTTTTGTTACACGGATGGTCATGCTTCGTTAATCCCTGACCCATATAAAAAGATATTTATACATTTATATACTATATTTTATATAAAATGAGTAAGTAAATAACTCCAAATATATAAGGCAAATGATTACCTTTTATATACTATATTTTATATAAAATGGGTAATTAAATAACTACAAAGACATAAGGCTAATGATCATGCCTCTTTGCAGTAGAGATGTAGTAATCTAATGTGGTGTCTATTTTTCTTTTAGAAGCTCTTCAAACATCTTTTAACCTCTTAGAGCACCCACACCGGTGCAATGATAAGATCTTGCAAATGCTGTCACCTCACCATCACTTAGAATTTTTGGAAAGAAAAATTAGTGGGACATGGCATTTTATTAAAATAATGATACAATTACACTTGCAAGTTTTGCAAACTGTGAAAGACAAAGATACACATGGCATTTGATTCTTGTGATGTGGCATTGCAAACTAGTTTTGCAAGTTGCGATGCGGAAGGTCTTATGTCTGCAGGCAGGCAGATATTTTGGCTTGCAGATTGTTTGTTTTTTCGTAGACCGCAGACATCAAAAATTTTGTACATCATCTTATCCTTGCAGATGCTATACAAGCTCTTCTTGACTTAGCAGATATATGTGTTCCTCAGAAAAGGCTTCAAACCTAAAAACAAAAGGTAGTTCGTTCATTCCCTTTCTCACCTGCCTCGATTGTCGTTGCACCCTTCTCCAGCTCTTCCCTCTTTGCTCGTCAGCCTTCATCATCTCCCTTCTCCACTCCCGTTTAGCTATGGAACCACCACCTGAAGACCGGTCAAACAACGTTGACATAGACAATCTTTGTCGCCGCCTGTGAAATGTGAATAGCCTAGGTCGACCCTCTTTGCATTTTGTAATGTTGAGTTGAATTTGTTGAAATGTGGTCTAATATTAAGGTCGGCTTGGTAATTTTAAATTATAGTACCAACAAAATGTGAGGTGTGATGGTTGACTGAAAGGCTGCAATGGTTGTCAAGGGATGTGTCGGTTTTTGTGTGTATAAGTATTTCCAGAACTTTAAAATAGTGGTGTGCCTGTGTGTGTGGAGTTGATAATGAAAAATATATGATTTGAAGTGTATACAGGCTACATTTGTGTGCAATACCTCCTGTGCATACAGTATTGTTTGATTACTTTAGGTCACAACTAACTTGGTTCTCATCCAACGAGAACTACCAATGGAGACAGATTAAACTGGAGATGATTATTTGTCTTTCTTGCTATTAGAAAGTCACAAATTGCTACTTCTATTTGTCATTTATTTAGTATAGAAATGAAATATCTAAAAAAACTAACCTTGCTTTTTTTTAAATAAACTAATATTAAATCTGATGGTTGTATTATGTTATCGGATTATAAAATTAAAATGAAGAATATGATAGAAATCCCAACACCCTCCACCTACCACCATCCTACCTCCACCGCCTCCATCACCAGCCACAACCACCACCGTTCACCTACAACTCCAGTTTGAAGCAACAATTTGTAGATCTTAATGAAAGACAAGAAACAAAGAAGCGTAGAAGGCTTTATTACATATGGAGGATGTGGGTTTTGTTGTAGAACGCATAGAATCCATTCTTAAAACTTCTTGAGTTTTGTTTCAGTGGGCTTTGTGAACCAATTCAAATTTAGTAGATAACAGTTGAGAATCAAGGATGAAACCAAAAATAGTAGATAGAAAACATTCTTAATGATGTGACATTCTCTTTGCTTGAAAAAAATAAAGTATCCAACTCTCAAAAAGACATAAACATAAGTAAAACAAACTATTAATCCTCCTAACATTCAAAAACACCAAACATCAAAATGATTTTGCTTATTAGCTTAATTCATCCTCCTGATTAGCTCATTGATGAAGTTTTCACGGTTTCCAGCATCTCCACCTTCAACATAATGGTTTCTCTTCTTCTTCATTCCACCCAATGGTGCTTTCAGCTTAAATGGCCACAAGAAGTTGTTTGCTTCTTTAAAATGTGGTCCAGCAGTCAAGATTTCATGAATAAGATCTTCAACACAGATGATTCCAAATTTTCCAAGACCCTGTTCATTGAATTCAAAAACCCAAATCCATCATGGGTATCTTTCAAGTTTAAAAATTATTGTTTAAAAAAATATAAACCTGTTCAACAATGGAGTTGTCTGTTAATGGGATTCTTTGCTTGTTAAGCTTGCCATATCCTCTCTTGTAGATCAACTCCTTCACACTCTTCAAGTTCGGGTACCTGAGAAAAAGGATAGTTTTTATTTAATAATGAGAATAAAAACCAAAAAGTAAGTAACTGAAAATTTAATTCATTTATTACCCATAGGTGACATATGGTTCAACCCTGTGGAGCATGTTCAATGTGGCTTTGTTGACTTTCAAAAACACACCATTGAATATCTGTTTCATAAAGATAGAATTATAAACAATATGATGATGAGAAATTTAGCTTCTTGATGGTTTTATAAAGCAAACAACAAAAAGAAGATGTGATATTTATAATGGGCAAAGGAAATCACCTGTCTCAATCGCAAAAGCTGCAAAATCTTCTTTGACTTTGGGTCCATGGCATTGATACTATATGTTACAAAGTGGAAAAAAGAAGAATTATATCACAACTATATACACAAAAATGTTATATATCAATAAGGGAATCACAAATGTAAATAAAAAATGGCAACAAAACATACCCACGGATACGAATAATGAACAGCATCTTGGCTTCAGGGTTCACATAGAATCCACCCTTCAACCTTGCCTCACGCTTCAACTGGATCAACTCCTTGTCCTGCATTAAACAGAGATTTATACATGTCAATTATCAGATACAATCAAAGACGATAGAACAATGAAAAAAGGGATTAAAGAATGATACCTGAGCTTCATACTCCTTGCTGTACTGCTTAGCCCTGTTGAAGATCAACTTCCTGTTGGCAGCGTTCTTCTTCTTCAACTCTTCAACCTCTTGCTTCTTTGCAAGAGCCCATTCCTCGTTTCTCTTTTGCTTCTTCAATACAGACTCTGGAACGAGCTGTCCTGCCTTGGCAACTTCAGCCATTTCTTCAACCTGCTTCAAAACTTCGATTCATCAATCCATGAGAAACAAATATAAACACTTTTTATATAAATCATGTAAAGTGAATTTCGAACATTATTTCAAAGCAGTCGTTTCCATTAGAAAAACAAAATCTAGATACAAAACGAGACATATGCTGATTAAGTTTTCGAATCAAAAGAAACTGGCAGAAACACGGATCAAAATGATAAACATATAACCTCTGTATAGTTTCAAATTAAAGTTCAACGCCAGTAACTCATAGGGAAGACAATAACTTATGAAATCACCGCAGTAACGCCGGTATACTGATACGATGCTATGGTATATAACACATGCTGGTTCAGTGTAGAGTTTACAGAAGCATACCTTTTGGAAGCGGCACCGGCGACGAGGGGATTGTAGACGATGAAGAGGCGAAATAAGGGATTAGGGTTTTGTAAGAGCAGGGCATTTGTAAATATCAGTTCTTACTTTCGCGGGCTTGGGTTTGAACAGTGAATGGGCTTTCCTTTTAACTATTACAAATACTTTTGGGCTTTTGTTGATATTTGATCCAATTTACTTGAACTTATTTTCAAAGATAAGTTCAACTAATTTACGAAAAAATAATAGTTCATAATTCGTTTCTTCTTTGCTTCTTTAGAATGTTGCCAATGAGGGTTTGGGATTCAGTTTTGAAACATTAAATGTTTTTTGGTAAAAAAATAGTTTATTAGCTTATTTGGTTGGAAAAAAATTAAGTATATGATAAAAAAAATAAAAAAAACTATTTATATATATACAATGATCAAAAAGAAAATGTTCATATATTCCAATCTTTTTAAAGCAAAACCGTCAAAGTTTTCACATAAATTTACCATTACTATAAAGTTGAAATATATCTCATCTTTTGTGAAGTAAAACCGTTAAAGTATGTTCTGTATCAAGAAAACCATTTTTGATTCCAAATTAAGAGGCTTGCTAACCTTTTTTTTTTTTTTTGAAAGAGAAGAGGCTTGCTAACTTCAAAAAATGGAAATAAGAAAATAGAAATGAATATAATGAAATTAAGTGGCAATGACAAAAATACCTCTTTAACATAAAATACATATAATTTACAAATTTTTATAATATTATCCGGTAAAAAATATACTTTCTATTGTAATAAACACATCCCTATTCTAATAAACTAGGTGTAAAACCCGTGGGACCCACGGTTGATTAATTTAAGTAGAATCATAATTTTGATTACATAATAAAATAGGATACCATAGTTAAGAAAAAAAGATAAATACATAATAATAGTATATTTATTTTATTAACATTGTCATTTGTAAGTATTTAAAATTTATAAATTTTAAGCAATACTGAATTTTTTAATTATAACAATTTATTTAAGTAATGTATTTAACATGAATAAAGCAAAAACAATAAAATATTATAAGTTAATTAACATAAATAAATCAAACACAATAAATTAATAAAATTAAATCAAGTTATATAATTTAATTAATTAATACTAAAAATAAATAAAATATGATACAGAATAATTGATTATAAATTACCAAAAACTTCCTTATAAACAACATTGGAAGTTTTATTGATTAACCTACCATCCTTATCTAAAATTAACAATTTTAATCCCTCTCTGCTTTGAACTCTAGATAAGGCAACATATAATTAGCCATGTGAAAAAACAGGATCTTTGAGGTACAAACCAACCTTTGATAACGACTGTCCTTGACGTTTATTAATAGTCATAGCAAAACATACAGCCAATGGAAACTGCCTTCTTTGGAATTTGAATGGAATTTTTTTTTCTGATGGGGTTAAAGACATTCTTGGAATAAAAGTCTGATTTCCAATATTAGTTCCAGATAAGATACGTGCCTCGATAACACGTTTGCCCAATGATATCACTTGGAGTCTTGTTCCATTACATAAGCCATTTTTCTGATCAATATTTTCTCAGTAACATAACTGGAACACCGATTTTTAAAACTAACTTATGATTTGGTAGACCCGAAACTTTGAGACCATTTAAAACATCAAGTGAGTATAAATCTGCATCAAAATGATCATGGACAAATTCAGATTGGCATATACTATCTGAACTTAAATATTCAACCTCATCTCCTGGAAACTTCAATAGCAAACTGTCATTTATTTCCTAAACCACTTCATTCTTTGGAGCTAGTATTGCTCTTTCTTGAAAATAACTTGTATTGTTGTAATTTTCCAAAATCGAAGGATATACAAACTCAATTAATGAACCTACAGGATCATGTGTATCACTAATGAGAATATCATCCGGAATTTCAATAACTGTTTCGCCGTCATTCTGACCACCAAGTTTGCCTTCTCCTATAGCCAATAGCCATTTTGCAAAATCTCTAGTTTTTTCTACTGCAGACTGATCCCTTCCAACCGTTAGCCTCATGTTTTTTGTTAACTTATGGATTTTGCATTGTTGCCATAAATATGAAGAACTTAAAGAAGCATTAACAATGTTTTGTCTGCTGCCACCCGAAATAACATGCAAAATTTGTTTGAAATCTCCTCCGAAAACAATAACTTTCCCTCCAAATGGAATATTCGACTTGGTAGAATTTTCAGACCTTAATACATCTTTTAAACTTCGATCTAAAGCTTCAAATGCATGCTTATGGACCATAGGTGCTTCATCCCAAATTATCAAAGGTGTTTTTCTCAATAAGCTAGCGAGCTCACTACTTCGATTTATTTTACATACAGAATCCTCAGTAAGTTCAAATGGAATTATAAATCGAGAGTGCGATGTTCTACCTCCGGACAATAATAACGAAACAATCCCACTTGAAGCAACATTTAAAACGATATGACCATCACATCTAATTGTTGCAGATATTGTCTTCCATAAAAAAAGTTTTATCTGTTCCACCATAACCATAAACAAAGAAGACACCTCCTTTATTTTTTTTAACTGCACCCATGATATCAAGGAAAATGTCACGCTGCTCATTTGTTAATGCAAGAAACATACGGTCAAATTCAGTCTTTATAATGGGAATGTCATAATCTAGCTCCTCGGTGATAAGTCGATTGTTTGAAGAAGAAACAGAATCAACGTCCGGGTAAGGCATGTTTTTATAATTTTTGAGAGTGTTGTTGTTACGAAGTAAAATCTGTTCTATCTCGGACAGAGTTAAGTTCATAAGCCGATCTTCACTAAGAGTTAAGCCTGGAGGACAAAATATCAAATTAATTACATATATTATTAACAATATTTACTTATAATTAAAAATTTATCAAATGCATGTTAGAAAATAAATAATTTAATTTTTAAATAAATAATAATAATAATATTATAATACATGGATACTTGAATCTCTGTCGTTGATTATAAAGAATTCCATCCGCCAAATACTCCCATGTATTTTCCCAAACAACTTCTGGTTTAGACATACTGTTACACATCAACAATGTGGCAAATAAGAATCGTAGATAAAAACCAGATCCAGAATGACTTGCTTCTTTAATTGCATCGATGTATTTTTTGTCATCATCCAAGAGCCCAAGAGCATAACAAACATCTCTAAAAGACAAATATTCTTCACCATTTATCGCCCGAATCTCTTCAAATGATCTCGGACCTTTCACCTTATTTAAAAGAATCCTTAAGAAATAAGCTTCCCCCAAATTAGGTGAGACCGAATGAATTCTACCAATGCACTTTCCTACTTCCCTAGGCTTCCAAAACCTATCCTTACGATTCCAAACAAACTTTGTAGGAAATTCAACATACGTAAGCTTCCGTGCATCACGAGAAATTGCATTACACTCCATCCAAGCTGTTAACATTGAATCAACAACAGAAGGTTTGTCCAAAACATCATCAATATCATCGTCTTCCCCATATACAATCTGCTGTTGACCAGGAAGATGAAAAGGTAGTCTAACTACAGAAGGATACCTGTAATGAACATCATATTTAAAAACTCGCCATGATGCTTCACATGCAGATAAATATCTACAATTGTAATATTCATTTATCTCATCGACCGTTTCATGATTATCACAATCATTGTTGCTTCGTACAACGGCAACTGTAGCTCTATCAGGTCCTTTGTTTATGTATTAAATAAATGGGTTAAAATATGTGTTAACTCATTTAAAATAAAAAAGGTAAAAAGAAAATTAACTAACAATCACATGACTTAACTAAGTTCCAAACTTAGATAAAATTTCATAGAGGACAAAAGCATAATTCCAATTCAGAAATACAAATAAATTATTCAAATAACATTAAAAGTGTTTAAATTTGAATTGATTTTAGAAATGGCTGAGTGTTGGCATAAAAAATATAGGAATTAGAAATGCATTTTTTGAAAAACAGAAAAAATAATACAGCGTTATAATTTATGAATTCATACTTAGATTAATATATAATAATATTTAAATATTTATTAAATTAAATATAATTTAAATGGGGTGATGGATTAAAAATAAGTTACACGTTCTAAAGCCACTTTTTGTACTTTAGAATGTACACGAAGTTTTATCATGGTATGCTGTCACACCCCCAAACCGAACGGCGGAAACGTTCGGGGGCGGAGGATGTTATGTATAGTATCACAACAATTGAATAATAGTAATCAAAGCAACAACAACCATTGTATTAATAATATAGTGGTTACATTGTATTCAAATCACATAAAACTGACTCCAAAAGTAAATAGTAAAGTAAAGACTTGAAGCTACTATGCTCCATCTTCTAAGAACCCAGGCGTGTACCTATCTACTAGTGCCCTGAGAATACAAGTGGTTTTGAAAGAGTATCAACATTAAAGTTGGTGAGTTCATAAGCGTTTTGTTTTAGAAAACAGATTCTTTGTTTTTTGTAAAACATGATGTGTTTCTCCAGAAAATTCTATATTTTATTATGTAATGAATGATAAGTAAAATGACTCGTACTAGTTCCTTCTACGAGTACTTAGTGTATACAGGTCATATACAATCCAGATCGAACAGACAATCGATTGTGTCGTTCTGCCCCAAGCCCACAACCAAACAAGGAACAGGAAATGAGGCGGAGGCCACACATCACACTAATTGTCGAATTCTCATTGTATATGACCCTGACGTATTCACCAGGTATTTACAGAGTTAACTGTAATAGTCCTTTGAAATATGATTAAAGTGTTCCTTAAGAAAATCCTATATTTTCTTTGTATGAAATATGATAATACCAGTTCCTTTTATGACCACTTAGTTTATACTAGTTATATATAAACCAAAATCGAACGGACAATTAATTGTGTGGATCTGCCCTAAGCTCACAACCAAACAATGAACATGAAATGAGGCGGAAACCACACATTCCACTGCCTATCGAATATTCTTCATGCATAACCTTGATGTATAAACTAAGGAATTATAGAATTAACAATGATTGTTCGTTAGTTGCATG